AGCTGCTCTGTGACATGACAGGAGCCTTGACAACACGCGAGATCTTCTTCTCTTCTCTCTTCGTCTCTCCTTTTTTCGCTTCCCCTTTTTCCTTTCCCTTCATGCGCCTGTCTTCAGTTTCCTTTATTTTCCCTCTTTTAGTTTCTCTCTCTCTCTCTCTCTCTCTCTCTCTCTCTCTCTCTCTCTCTCTCTCTCTCTCTCTCTCTCTCTCTCTCTCTCTCTCTCTCTCTCTCTCTCTTCTTTTTCTTCTTCTTCTCTCTCTCTCTCTTTCTCTCCCCTCCCTCCCTCTCCTCTCTCCCTCTCTCCCTCTCTATCTCTATCTCTCCCTTCCTCTCCTTCCACTCCTTCTACTCTCCTCGCTTCCTCCGACAACTTTATCTTCTACTTTGTATTCATGGTTCCTTGAATTGCATTTTAATGGCGCCCGTTTGCTTCTGTTACGAGTGGCGTGGAATGACCCTAGAATACAGAGTGGAGAGGAGCCGGAAATATGGAGTGCGCCCTCAACCTCTCCCTCTTTGTCATTCAGCTGTCACGTCTGTTATTTACTTTTAGAGAGCGCGGGGGTAGTAATGAATGGTGCTCCGGCGTAACTACTTGGCTCCTCCCGCTGCGAGTTATTTTGCAGGTGAATGGATTAAATGAGAGTGGGAAATAGATTTAGAAAAGGATTAGGGACTGGGTTTTTTTATTATTCGTATTTTATATTAGGAAGGAAGGACGAAAAAAGACTATATGCGTGTTGATTCGTAGGTATGAAATGGGGCTAGATTTCGACACTCCATACCGCGGGGTTATAATATTTCAAAGTCGTGTCTTAAGCGCTTTCATTACCGACGCATAACCATGAACAGCGAGTCGGCGAATCCCTGCATAATCTCCCAGACCATCCCCGCAGTCATGAGGTGGATCCGAAAATGGCAACAATTCATTACCATCAAAATCTGAATCTTAAAATGAAATATCCCCGCGCCCGCACCAGAGCTTGCCGCCATTGTGAGTCGCGCGCCAGAGATTCGGAATGTAAACGACCTCATTGTGCGGCTTTACTGCGCTTATGCTTCTGATGATGGCTGTTGCTGTTGCTGTTCTTGCTGTTCTTGCTCTAGCTGTTCTTGCTGTTGCTGCTGCTCTAGCTGGCTGAGGCTGTGGCGGCTGGCAAGGCTTATACTGCGGGGAGCTGTCTCGAAAAGCTGCGTCTGTTGCCAATAGGGATTTAGTAGACATAAACATTGGAATCAGTATTCATTTACTTATTAGGTCATCACTTGTGTGGATTGTTGGAGAACGATAACAATCGGATATTTCAAAAAGAAAAATGAATAGACAAGGAAAAGGGGAAAAATAACAAAGTCACATTAACATATATTACATGGAAACCACAACCACATATATATAGGAGAGAGGGAGAGAGAGAAAAAAAAGGGCAATGAAGTAGACAGATAGATAGGTAGATAAAGAGAGCGAGCGAGGGGGAACGAGTGAAAAAAACAAAAAGTAGACAAATAGATAACAGATAAACAGAGAAAGTGGAAAATCAGAAAAAAGAAAAGAAAGCGAGAGAAAAAAACATAAATAAACACAAAGAAGAGAGAGCGCACACAACGCTACCTCGTTTCCCTAACAATCTGATGGCCTAATAGATGGTTAAGTGCTCAAAATACCCATCAAGCCAAGTTGCTACAAGTGGCCCTCGATGGCTCTCCAGCTTAATAAGCGAAGGACCACTCGACCACCGGGAAGTGTGTCTGCTCTCTGATGGGAAGCTTAAACTGTTGTCTGACGTCATAATGGCTCGCTTTATCGGCTGCTGTTGTTTACATGGTGGCAGCGGTGGTAGATTTTTTTTTTTTTTTATCTCTTTTTTTTTTTTTTTTGGTTTGTTTGTTTTGTTTTTTGGAGGGGGTGGGGGTGTATGGATTTTTTCTGAATATATTTTTTTCTTTCTAGTTGTTTGGTTGAGGGATTTTTGTATCGGATTTATGTTATTTATTTTGTTGTTGTTTTATGATTAATTTTGTGTTCGACGTTCGATAGTTTAATAGTAATATTCCGGGTCCTCCCCCCTCCCCCCTCCCCCGCCCCCCAGTATCACAGCCGTTACTCAAAATATTTGTCTAACCGTTCTATCAGTATTCAAAAACCGGCTTACGATCTGAATATCCACAAACCCTCCCCCCAAAAAGAAAGGAAAAAAAAATAGTTTAGCCACTATATTCCCCGTCACATAATCCCCCCCCCCAAAAAAAAAAAAAAAAAAAAAAAAAAGTTTACCCTCTATGTTTCCCATCACATAAAGTGTCTCCACCGGATATTGAGACTTTCCCCCGCCCCCCTCCCCCATATTCCCTTCTCCCTTCCCACCCACCCCCAAAAAAACCTTCCCCTCACCCTCACCTCACCCTCAAAAAAAAATTAAATTCATCCAGATATAGAAAAATCCCCTCCCCCTCACCCCCCACCCCTCAAAAAAAATTCATCCAGATATAGAAAAATCCCCTCCCCCCTCACTCACCCCCCCCTCAAAAAAAAAAAATCCTCCAGAGATAGAAAAATTCCCTCCCCCTCACTCACCCCCCACCCCCTCAAAAAAAAAAAAAAAATCCTCCAGATATAGAACAATCCCCTCCCCCCTCACTCACCCCCCCCCTTCAAAAAAAAAAAAAATTTTAAATTCCTCCAGATATAGAAAAAAAACCTCCCCCCTCACTCACCCCCCCCTTAAAAAAAAAATTAAATTCCTCCAGATATAGAAAAAAAACCCTCCCCCCTCACTCACCCCTTCAAAAAAAGAAAAAAAAAAAAAAAACATTTTAAATTCTCCAGATATAGAAAAAAAAACCTCTCACAACTGGAAACTCCATCAGCACAACCCGAAGCGCGGTCCCAGACTCCAATTTTCTCTTGTAAACAATGTCCTGTATGGCGGCGTCGGTCCGGAGAACGGCGAGGGGAAATTGCGCCCGTTGAGCATCATGAGGGCGATGGTAATAAGGCCGACGGTGATGAGACTGTTAATGAGGGGGAGTTGGTGATTGGGGAAGGATAAGTGAGGGGGATCGTTGGGGTTTTGAATAAAGTGGTTTCGATACCGGAGGGGGGGGGGGAGGGTAAAGCGAGTGGAAAGTAGGAGTCGATTGGGAGCAGGAGAATGGAAAAGGGGAGGGACGATTAGAAGAGACGAAACGAGAAAAGGACGAAAAGGAAGAGAGACGAACCGAAAAAAAAGGACGAGACAGGAAGAGAGACCAAAATAAGGACGAAAAAGAGAGGAGAGACAATCCAAAATAAGAACGAAAAGAGTGGAACAAATCAGGAGAGATAATAAGAAGAGACAGACCAAAATAAGAACGAAAAAGGAAACAAATCAGGAGAGACAATAAGAAGAGACAGACCAAATAAGAACGAAAAATGAGAGAGACAACAAGAAGAGACAGACCAAAATAAGAACGAAAAAGAGGGACAACAAGAAGAGACAGACCAAAATAAGAACGAAAAAGGAGGAGAGACAACAAGAAGAGACAGACCAAAATAAGAACGAAAAAGAGGACAGACAAATCGGGAGAGAGACCAATTCGCGACGGAAAGGGAACTCTCTCCATCATCAGACATTCGTGTATCTAAGACGGTCTTCTCGCAACCCTATCTTCGCTCCGAGTGATCGACTGTCGCGCACTGACTGTTGAGACGCGAGGGGGGGGGGTAGGGAGGAGGGGGGGGGAGAAACATTAAAGTCGAATATTGACATTTTCCAACTTGATCAAAAAGTTTTATGGACTCTGCTGTCTCGTTGCTCATCAACAAACTCATCACTATTCTTGTCTCTTGATACATATGTTTTTTTTTTCTTTTTTTTTTTTTGTCTTTTCTTTAATCTTTGGAGTCTTTTCTTATTGTCTTTTATTTTCTTTCTTTTACGGTGCGTTGTTCGTTTGTTTTTTTTTCTTTTTTTCTTTCTCTCTTTTTTTGTGTCTGAAAGAGTTGAATGAAGGGGGGGAGGGGGAGGGGGAGGGGAGGGGGAGGGATAGTGTAGTCTTGTCTCATTTAAAGTTGGGTGGAAGTCTGAGATTCCCACATACTGTCGCGTGTACTCTTTGTTTTACTAAGTGGACAAAGTTAACTTCATCCTTCTGTATAATCATCTTGCCTCTTCTGTTTACCTTGTTCTCTTCTCTTCTTTTTTTTTATTGGACTTGCGATGCTTGTCTCATTCGCTTTTCCCTGTTTATGTCTGTCTTCTGAACAGCCTTTTTTCATATCCAAAGATTCGCCAGATTTCAGATAACATTCTTACTTTGATTTAAATGTCATTGAAATCTAAGCAAAGAGGATCTAGATAAAAAAAAAAAAAAAAAAAAAAAAAAAAAAAAAAAATAGGAGGTACCATACCCAGCCTTTTCCTTTTACGCGACAAAGACCTTGCTAACGCGTCCTTGTCCCTCCTCCTCCTCCCGCAGGACTCTTCTCGCCTTCAGACAACAACAACGAGGTCACGAGCGACGGCAACAGCGAACACAACTCCAGCACGGACGAGGACTCCCAGCTGCGCCTCCGCCTGAAGAGGAAGCTGCAGAGAAACAGGACCTCCTTCACCAACGAGCAGATCGACGCCCTCGAGAAAGGTAAGGCGAGGATACAGGTGCCACGCCCTCCTCGAAAGAGGGGGGCGCGTGAGGAACAGCATCCACCTGTAGGAGGCGATGTGGGAGGCATCCCTCGGGGGGGGGGACGCCGTGGACGGAGCGGTACGAGAGGCCGCGCTGGCGTTCCTCTGGCGACACCTGGCAACCAGTTTGCAAAATTCGATCATCAAAACCTAAACAACAATCATGATCATATCAATAACAAATACCCCATCTTACCTGACTTTATTTATTCATATTTATTTTTTACCTAACTACCTAAACCCTAGTGCCAATAAACTGATTTCGCAAAAGACCTAGGAGTTTATGTTAGACACTCTCGGGCTAACTTTGCCTAATTTTTTGGTACTGGCGCCGCAGAGTTCGAGCGTACACACTATCCTGACGTCTTCGCCCGGGAGCGGCTGGCGGAGAAGATCGGACTCCCGGAGGCGCGGATACAGGTAGGGGCGAGGGGACGAGAGGCAGATGCATGTGTATGTATATATGTATATAGATAGATTGATAGATAGATACTTATATAGCTCTTTAAAGGCCGTACATATCTGTATGTGTGTGTGTGTGTGTGTGTGTGTGTGTGTGTATATATATATATATATATATATATATATATATATATATATATATATATATATATATATATATATATATATATATATATATATATATATATATATATATATATATATATATATATATATATATATATATATATATATATATATATATATATATATATATATATATATATATATATTAATATATATAATATAATATATATACTATATATATATATATATATATATATATATATATATATATATATATATATATATATATATATATATATATATATATATATATATATATACATATATACGTTTGTGCATTGTGGGTTTTTCTACCATAGTATCAACACGGTAGAGTGTTTTTCCATTCATATGTATGTATGTATATATACATACATATATGTACAGCATATAAAGAGCTAGCCAACTAACTACACAGATAGACAGAGAAACAGTCAGCTAAAAATAGATCAGTGTTACAAAATAAGCGTTAGAAAGAGAACATAGCACAGGATAGACAAACATATATATCTCATTAAATCAAAAATAGAACATAAAAAACTTTTTTCAAATTAGTCATCACAAAAGATATACTGTAACAGGGATTAGTAATATTTGACGAAATCTGGAAATGGAAATGGGACAAACCTCTCATTGTGAAATATAGAAAATCTGTAGTTTTTTTTTTTTTTTTTTTTTTTTTTTTTTTTTTTTTTTAATAGAATTCAAACTTTTGGTCATAAATAAGGAAAATGCGACCTTGATGATCTGTGAACTGAAAGACATACGATTTTCGATATGCAAGGCGTGTAAAGGCAGTATGTGCAGCACACACACTCACACACATACACACACACTCCCACGTGAATGTGTGTACGTGAGTGTGTGTGTGTGTGTGCTGTGTGCGTAGTGTGTGCGTGCATGTGTGTGTGTGTGTGTGTGCGTGTGTGCGTGTGTGTGTGTGTGTGTGCGTGTGTGTGTGTGTGTGTGTGTACTTAGCAGGATTCAAGGACGCCTTTTCGTATGGAGAACTTGTCCCATTTTCATAACCTTGTCTCTGAAGGAAGCGATGACGTGTGGATATCATTCTGTGATAAGTTATTCATACATTGTTACCAAAAAAAAAAGAATTGACTATTTTATTCACTTAAGGATTCCATTGACTTAGCGATTTCGGATTTTATCTGCACGTTTGTCTCTTTTTTTAGGTTTAAGTTTATTTATATATATATACCTAATATACATATATATATATATATATATATATATATATATATATATGTATATATATATATATATATATATATATATATATATATATATATATATATATATATATATTATATATTTAGTATGGGGTATTGTTTTCCTGTCCCTTTGTGTGTATGTGTTTATGCGTGTATGTATGATTTCTTGAATTTAATTAATATTCACCTGAACCTTATATATGTGTATGGAGTAGTGTATACGTATATATAAGTTTATTTCAAGTCATGTCAATTGTTCTAATATCACCGACATGTCACAATCACCTTATTCATATGTGTAGAATTGTGTGTGTGTGTGTGTGTGTGTGTGTGTGTGTGTGTGTGTGTGTGTGTGTGTGTGTGTGTGTGTGTGTGTGTGTGTGTGTGGTGTGTGTGCGTGTGTAAAAGCACGCTATGTATGTTTGTGTTGGGGTCGACCTAACGCTGCATCAACGGGGATCTCTTCACCCTACTGTCGGTGCAGGTTTGGTTCAGTAACCGCCGAGCAAAATGGCGGCGGGAGGAGAAGCTGCGAAACCAGCGCCGAAGTGTGGACCAAGTCGGCGTGGGCGTGGGCGTGGGGATGGCCAACAGTGCAGCCGCAGCAGCCTCGAGGCTCCCCCTCCAGTCAGGCTTCAACTCCATGTACCCGTCCATTCCCCAGCCCATCGGCACCATGGCGGATACGTACAGGTGAGACGCACGCAACTCGATCTTCATTTGTTTTCTTTTGTTTTGATTGTGTTTTGCGCTTCGCTGTTGTTATTATTCTATCTTTACTCTCATTTTGTTAATTATGTCTTGTCTCCTAATGTTATTCTCTATTCTTTCGCTCATTTCTAAGAAAAAAGAAGAGGCGGTGTGAAAATAGAAGAGACAATGTGAAAAGAAACAGTAGTCACGTGATCTTTGTTTGCTTACGTCACTCTGTCAGCCATGGCGTAGGCCTTATATTGAAAGATCTCTCTCTTCCCCCTCTTCTCTCTCTTTCTCTGTTTTCTGTTCTCTTTCTCACCCTTTTTTATTTGATTTGTACATGCTGTTATTCTATTTTTTGTCTTTTTATTTTTCCTTTCCTATCTTTTTGTGCGTTTCCTATCATTATTTTCATTTTACGCGTCAGATATTTTTCGATATTTTTTCCCCTTTCCTCTCTATACTCTGGAATTGTTTCCTAGACAAGTCGATCGTATATATTAATAATATATGCGGCCAAACTTCGCTCTTCAAACTAGACAATTAAATTACAATATTTCAGTTTATGCAGTTTATATTCCAAATTGATATACGCTCGGTGACGCCGCTTTCCCCCTCAGCGAACGAAAAAAAAAAAGAATAAATATCCTTTTTAAACATTTTATACAATTTCTGGAACGTTTCCCCCGTCGAAGTAATTAGTAAACTGTTTGGACAATTTATCTTCCTAATTAACTATATCAAAGTAATTCTTGCGTGGCCACGAGTCGCAAGTGTTCGGACAACTGTGAGAGAAAAACGAACACAATGGATCAAAAGGCATTCCGACTCGTGTTCTATAGGCCTACGCTCTTCAGAAGAAATAAAATGTGAAATATAAAGAGATGTTTATATAAATTTTGAAGGAGGATGAGCAGTCGGTGCTTAAAAATAAACTCTCGTTGTTCTTTCAATAATAGCTTGGTAAAGGGATGGTAATGATAAAGATTTTGATGATAATGGCTGTAATGATAATAAGAATGATACTAATAATAATAATAACAATGATAATATGAAGAATAAGAAAAAAACAATATAAACAATAATAGTGATAATAGAAATAACGATGATCATAATTAATTGCAACTCTAACAAAAAAGCAGTAGAAGCGATTATATTCTTCACAACAATAACAATAAAGACATCAAAATCAACGGAATCGGACAAACGAATCAACGAAACCCCGGCTTCGAATCCCCCCCCCCCCCCCGGCGCTGAGACCCGAAAGACCCAAATGGCGGGAGAAACGAACAAGGCAAGCCGACACAAAAGCGAGGGAGGGGCTTTTGATACTTAATTGAAACTCCTAAACGTCTCTTCAAGAGGAAGCACCAAGAGGCTAAGATGTAAAGCTAATAGGAGAGCAGTCGTCACAACAGCTGCCGGCCCTCTCTTATTCGGACAACAACAATTTCCCGCTGGTGATCGGACAGTTCACATCTCAGGGTTGCCAGTCGATGTTTTCCTATATTTATCTCGCGGGGGGCGTTGATAGCCCTGATTTTCGAAAGAATTATTTTTTTCTTCCTTGTTTTTTTAATTCTAGAGTATTCGAAATATGCGGTACGTTTTATTTTCTCGGTTTCTCGGTTCTTTTTACGTGTTGTGTTGGGATCGTTGGCAACCTTGGCCGACTATAAACTGTTGAATGGTCCTTGATACAGACACAAGGACATAATTACCGTTCCTGCTAAAGTAATTTGGACTTCTCTCACATATGGCTAAGGGAGTTAAATGCCCTTGCTGGTGTTGCGATGTTGCTTCTCGTTTGACGGAATAAAAGTAATTGAAACACTCTACACCTTATACATTAAACACATACACACACACACACACAACACACACACACACACACACACACACACACACACACACACACACACACACACACACACACACACACACACACAACACACACACACACCACACACACCCTCCTCCCCTTACACATACACAATACACAAATTACCTTCCATACGATCCCAAAGCAAAACAAACGCAGACAGAAGATAAACACGCACAAAGCTTTTATTAAAGGAACACCGACAGACAAATCTGCGCAGAAGCGAGAGAAAAAAATCGGGAGAAAATAAGGCGATTTAAGAACCATCGAGAATACGGGATTGGCACTCGCTGGCTGGCACTCGATCTCAAGGGTCAACATCCCCGAGTGTCTCTCTGGCCCCTTCCCTCTCGCCTTATCCTATTGCTCCTCTCGCGCTCTCTCTCTCTCTCTCTCGCTCTGCTTTCTTTCTCTCTCTATCTCTCTCTTTTCTTTTCTCTTTCTTCTCTCTCGCTCTCTCTTCTTTTTTTTTTTTTCTCTTGCTCTCTCTCTTCTTTCTTTTTTTCTCTCTCTCTTCTCTCTCGCTCTGTCTTTTTTTTCTTCTGTTTTCTTTCTTTCTTTATCTATTTATCCTCTCTTTCTCTCTCCTCTTTCTCTCTCTCTCTCTCTCTCTCTCTTTCTCTCTCTCTCTCTCTCTCTCTCTTCTCTCTCTCTCTCTCTCTCTCTCTCTCTCTCCTCCCTCCTCTCTCTCTTCTCTCTCCTTTCACTTCTCTTTTCACTTTCCCTCCTTCTCTCTCTTCCTCTCCCTCTCTCCTTTTTTTTAAGGACCCTTCATAAATCGAATAGAAAATAAGGGAAAAATCAGTCGATAAGTGGCAAAGAACGGTGTGAAGTGTAAGAGAAATTTGTAAAAGTGAAAAAAGGAGAAACAACAAATGAAGGAGAAATCGGACTTAAATTTTTTTTATAGTGTAATTTCCTCCACCTTTCCTCACCTCTTCCCCTCTCACATCCCTACCCCCTTCCCTCACCTCTTCGGTCCCCTTCACCCATCCCCCTCTCATCCCTTTCTCACCATCCTCCACTCCCATCTTACCCTCCCCTCCCCCTTCGTATCCCTCATCCCTTCCCCTCCCATCTTCCTCCCCCCCTCTCCCCACTCCTCCCCCCATCCCTCTTCCCCCACCACTCCTCCCCATCCCCTCTTCCTTCACCTCCCTCCCCCACCCCCTTCACCTCCTCCCACACCCCACTCCCCTCCCCTCTCCCCCAACCCCCCCAACCCGCCCCCTAGTAGATCGCCAGCACCGTTTAGCACTTGCGAGGCAGCCCGCCGGCCAATTAAGCGCTCGCCAACCCTCGCTATTAAGAGCTAATGATCATCAGCCTCCTTATCGATCGGGGATTCAACGGCGTTTAAGTGAGACAAGGAGGAGGGGGGAGGAGGGGGAGGGGGGGAGGGTGGGGTGAGGAGGGAGAAGGGGAGGGGGAGGTGGGAGAGTGGAGGTGGGAGACTGAGGGTGGGGGGTGAGGGGAGGAGGGGTGGGGGAGGGAGGGGGGGAGGGGTTGGGAGGTGAGGGAGAGTGGGTGTGAAAGGTGGAGGGAGGGAGGAGGAGGAGGTGGGGAAGGGTGGGGAGGGAGGTTGAGGAAGGTGGAAGGAAGGGTAAGGGGAGGTAGAAGTGTAGGGAGGAGGGAGAAGATGATGAGATGAATGGGGAAGAAGGAGGGGGTTGAATCAGATAGGATAGGTTGGGGAGGAGGAGGAAGTTGGGGAAGAGAGGTAAAGAGAAGAGGGGAAGGGGAATAGAATATAGGGAGATGGGGAAGTGGCAGGGGGGATGGGGAAGTGGCAGGAGGGGGGAGGGGGAGGAGCCATGGGGAATTTAGAGGAATGAGAAATAAATGGGAAGATGAGGAGATGGGGAATGGGAAGAAAAGGTGGAGGTAAGAAAAGGGGAAAAAGGGCAAAAAAGAAGAAGAAGAAGAAGAAGAAGAAAATAATATTAAGAAAGATATTAAGAATAAAAGAAGGAAAAATGAGAGAGGAAAGACAGCAATAACACCAGAAGACAATATGACGAATACGTAGATGACGATAATGATAAAGAACGAATAAAAAGAAAAAGAACAAAAGACAAACGGAAAGGAGAAGATAATTCAAAATCACGAAGAGCCAGACAAAGACAGAGATCGATAACCGATGATAAAGGAAGAGGGGAACAGAGTGATATAAAAAAAAGGGTAAATAAAAACACATAGAAAGGTGACGGAAGGAAGGGATCGACGTGATAATCACCTTCTCCCCCCTTCTCCCCTCTCTTCTCCTCTCTCCCTCTCTCCCCTTTCCCTCTCTCTCCTCTCCCTCTCTCCCTTCTCCTCTTCTCTCCTCTCCCCCCCCACCGACTCTCTTCTCTCTCCCCCTTCCCTCTCTCCTCTCTCCCCTCTTCTCCTCTCTTCCCCTCTCCCTCTTCCTCTCCCTCTCTCTCCCTCTCTCCTTCCCTCTCTCTCTCTCCTCTCTCCCCCCCCTTTCCCCTCTCTCCTCCCCTCTCCCCTCTCTCCTCTCTCTCTCTCCTCTCTCCCCTCTCCTCTCTCCTCTCTCTCCCTCTCTCTCCCCTTTCCTCTCTCTCTCCTTCTCTCTCCCTCTTCTCCCTCTCCTCTCTCCCCTTCTCCTCTCCCTCTCTCCCCTTCCCCCTCTCTCTCCCTCTACTCTCCTCTCTCTCTCTTCCCCTTCTCTCCCTCTCTCTCCCTCTCTCCCCTTTCTTCTTCCCTCTCCCTTTCCTCTCTTCCTCTCCTCTCTCTCCTCTCCCCCTTCCCTCTCCCCTCCTCTCCCTCCCCACTGACTCTCTTCCCCAATATTTGACATTTGTTCAACGGCTCAACAATGCCATTATTAGCTCCTGTGACGAGAGGAGGGGGAGGAGGAGGGGGGAAGAGGGGGAGGAAGGAGGAGGGAGGGAAGGGAGAAGAGAGGAGGGAGGGGGGGAGGGGGAGGAGTACCCTCTTCATGGCTTTTAATCATTGATTCTGTCTATTTATATCTATTTATTCTTCGTCATCGATGATGGTTTTAATTGATGGAGTTTTATTTTTTTAGATTTTTCTTCTTTCTTTCTTTTATATTTATTTTGATTTTTTTTATATTGTTTTCTGTTTGTTTTTTCCAATGTTTGTGAAT